TAGGTATAATGTTTCCTTTTCCATGAAGCTTTTTTAAAATTCCATTTGGCCAAGAGTAATCCTCTGAAACTCCATTTCCACATGTGCATGTGCCATGGTGTGCATGTGGAAGTCAGAGGACCACTCTTTGGGGTTGGTTCTTTCACCATTTGAGTCCCAGGGATTGAACTTGGGTCGTGAGGGTTGGCAACAAGTATCTTTATCTGTGGAGCCATCTCCCAGCCTGGGAGATAGACTGCTCCTAGTCTTTGCCATCACTGTGATACCTACTTATTCAACAGTATGCCTATATACAGTAGGAGCTCAATTTATGTTCACTGGGTAAGCTGTTAGATAACTTGAGAGTGCCTTTATTTTATATTATCTTTTCAACTCAAATGACCATTTGCGCTGACCATTATCTGTAAGGACTATAGAACAAGCTGTGCTATGAAACCCCAAACACCTCACCCCATGTTGATATAGTTAAAAAGTTTATGGTCTGAGAAAGTCTGTGCCTTTTAAAGCTCAGAGGGCAGGTGTATTAACAAACTACAGAATTTTCAAATAAATGAAGAATTCCATTACCTCACTATTGCTGTTGATGAATTGGCCTCCTATGACACTTAAGCATCAAAACACATTGCGTCTTTTCAGCTGAGAGGCTGACATGAACAATTTGATTAACTTTTAGACGTTTTATTTTAAAAAAGGCTGTTGACCTTTCCCTTGTGTAATATGCTCTTTCCCTTTGAATTGTGCTCTGTGTCATAGAATGTGGCCCACTCTTTTTTCATAACCTGTTCCATTATTGTTTCAAAGTGTTATTTTTTTAGGTACTAACTGGGTTCAGAGGTTAAAATTTTAGAATTAAAACATCAACACATCCCACTAGTAATTAGTAGTAAACCTTTGGTCAGAAAGCTGCGTGCTTACTAAGTATTTATTCTCTTCTCAAGAACAGTTTACTTTTCTACTTTTTTTTTTTTTTCCATTTTATGAGACAGGCTCTCACTGTGTAGCTTTGGCTGACCTAGAACTCGCTATGTAGACCAAGTTGGCCTTGAACTCACGGAGATCAACTTGCTTCTCAAGTGCTGGGATTAAAGGTGTGTGCCACCATGCCCAGCCTTAGTTTTCTAATTTTTGAAGTTGTCCATTCCATCATTTAAATCTTCAGACACTTCCCTATTTATAAAGGTTTTACTTTTGTTTAGTAAATCTTTCTCTTCATGTAGCCCAACTTCTGGTTTTGACTTTAACCCTTGAGTAAACAAGTTTAAAGTCCCTTTCTTGTTTTTCCCAAGGTTAGATATCTCCTGGTCTTTTAAAAAAACATTTATTTATTTAGTTGTGTGTGTGCATGCACGTGTGTGTATGTGTACATGTATGTGTGTAGGTCAGAGGACAACTTGCAAGAGTTGGCTGTCTCCTATCATATGAATCGTGGGGATGAAATTTGGGTTGTCAGGACAACTTGCAAGAGTTGGCTGTCTCCTATCATATGAATCCTGGGGATGAAATTTGGGTTGTCAGGATTGGCGGCAAGTGCCTTTACCTGCTGAGCTACCTTGCTGACCCTCTCCCTGTCCTTTATTTTCTTCTCTTTCTCTATTAATTTTAATTAGTACATCATTATACCTATTTATAGATTATACGATATTTTGACACACATATACATTGTATTATAATCGAATAAGACACCAACATATCTATCACCTCATGTATTATTTCTGTGGAGTAAGAATATTCAAAATCCTCCCTAGCAGCTTTAAACTATGTAATACATTTCTGTTAAGTCACCTTCCTGTGTAATAGAACAGAACTTACTGTTTTTAATATAACTACAATCTCTTGTCTCTTTAGATATGATGTTCAAAATTAGGATCTGTAGATACTGTAATTACAAGTAGATTTGGGGGACTGGAGAGATGGTCAGCAGTTAGGAGCACTGACTGCTCTTGCAGAGGACCCACGTTCGATTCCCAGCATCCACACAGCGGCTATGAACCGTCACGTTCAGTTCCCAGCATCCACATAGCGGCTGTGAACCATCCTTAACTCCAGTTCCAGGGGAATCCGAAGCCCTCTTCTGACCTCCGCAGCATTGCACGACACAGGTGCACTCACATGCATGTGGGTGGTACACTCATACACATAAAAATAAAAATAATAAATAAAATATTCTTTTAAAAAGTAGATTTGGAATCTCTGCTGCATATACCTAAAGTTTCATTGTGTACGTTGAGGATATATTTCAGTTATAGTCTCTAAAAGCACATTAGTTTGGGGGCAGCATTTTCATCCTCTTGACTTATATTGATCATGTTTTACCACCTTAATCATTTAAGGCTGATTTACATGGGTAGGTGTAACTCATGTATCCTGTACTACATTTTTTAAAAATTATTTTTATTTTATGTGCATGAGTGTATCACTTGCATGCATGTGAGTGCACTCGTGTCGTGCAATGCCGCAGAGGTCAGAAGAGGGCTTCAGATTCCCCTGGAACTGGAGTTAAGGATGATTTGTAGCCGCCATGTGGGTGCTGGGAATCAAACCTGGGTCCTCTGCAAGAGCAGTCAGTGCTCTTAACTGCTGAGCCATCTCTCCAGCCCCCTTTATTTTTATTTTATGTGTATGGATGTTGTGCCTGCATGCATGTAAATCCCCCTCCCCTCATCATTCAGTGCCCGTGGAAATCAGAAGAGGGCATCAAATCCCTTGGAACTGGAGTTAACTGATGGTTACTGGCGGCCATGTCGGTACTGGAATTCAAACCTCGGTCCTCTGCAAGAGCAGCTAGTGCTCTTAACCACTGAGCCATCTCTCCAGCCCCCATATCCTGTACTTCTTTAGTTTTATCTACTAGGCCCAAGTATAGGACCTTACGTTACCTGTGTTCAGATTCTTCTTGTTAGATTCAGCCCATTGAGATAGACTTGTTGAGATATTTTTGGTTCAGGGTTGGGTCATCTAGCATATTTGTTATCTTGCCCAGCTTGACATCTGCCCATTGGATAACTATATTTTCTTTTTCCCAACTTAGTCTTTCACAGGGATGTTGAGACAGGCCAGACTGGAATCATTCCATTGTTGCTAGTAGATACTTTTGTAAGGGGGTGGTGAGACAGGGTCTTGCTCTGTAGCCCAGGCCAGTCTTAAACTTACAGTCCCCCTGCCTCTCTTCCTGTGTACAGAGATTTGCATGTATGTGTGATATGGCTGACCCTAAACATGAACCTGTTAACTGATTTTCTTTTTAAAGGTTGGTTTTTACTTGTGCATGCATGCGTGTGTGTGCACGTGTGCACGCCTGCCATGTGTGTACAGGTGCCTGTGTAGATCAGAAGGTCTGGAGTTGGAGGCTGTTATGAGCTACCCAATATGGGTGGTGGGAACTGAACTCGGGTTCTCTGCAAGAGTAGTATATGCTCTTAACCCCTGAACAGTCTCTCCAACCCCCTGCTAGTTGCTTCTAATGGGCAAATTTTGTATGGAAATAGAATTTTCAGATCTGTATTCTGTAATTATAGCAGGAATTGTTTTTGAGGTGACTAGTCTATTGCAGTTGCTTACTAAGTAGTGAGAGACACTAGAAATCAGTATGGTCGTAAGAATGACATTAGGAGGTACTTTGAAAAATTAGTAATCTTGATTATATTCCTTTGTATAGTTAAACATAATATTTTTAAATTGCTGGTGTGGTAGTGCATGCCTTTATTCCCAGCAGTTGGAAGGCAGAGGTAGGCGGATATCTGTAGAGTGGGGCCAGCCTGGTCTATGTAGCAAGTTCTAGGCCAGCTGGGGCTACAGAGAGACCCTGTCTCAAAAAACAAAAACCCCAGTATTTTAAAATCAATAAAAGATAATTCTTATGTGATCCACTAAGAAGAAAGTATACTGGACTGATTTGAGGCAACGTAGTACAGGAGAAAGGGCCGTCATCTTGGTTGTGAGGTTTGTTCATTTATTTACTTAGCAAATATCTATCTAGTACCCATTATGTTTATGCCCTAGAGGTATAATGAGGGCTGGTGAGGTGACTCACTGGGCAAAGGATGCTTGCCACCAAGACTGACAACTGGTGTTTGAGCCCTGAGACCCACATGGTGGAAGGAGAAAGCCAACTCCTGCAAGTTGTCCTCTGACCTCCATGCACATGCTTATGTGCACACAAAATTAACAAATGTAATTTAAAAAATTAAAATGTCAGCTTTGGTCTTCAATAGAGTTTACATCTAGTGAGAGAGCAGTTACTTGAACTCATATGATAAAATTTCAACATGATAGCAATATTAAAAATGAGGTATTTCATTTTTTTCTTTACTAAATATTTGAAATCTTTGGACTAGCCATATTTATTTATTTTTACTTTTTTGTGTATGAATGTTATGCCTGCATGTGTGCAAGTGTACCTGTGTTGTGCAATGCCTGCAGAAAATGGAAGAGGGCATTGGATGCCCTGGAACAGGAGTCACGGATGGTTATTAGCTGCCATGTGGGTGCTGGGATTCAAACCTGGGCCTTCTGCAAGAACAGCCAGTGCTCTTAACTGCTGAACCATCTCTCCAGCCCCTGGACTAGCCATATTTAATGTACTTAGTAGGCACCAGTAGGTAGTGGCTACTATATTCGACAGGAAAATTCTATACCTGCCTTTAATAACTACTCTATAGTGATGGGGAAATTACTTTCCTTCTTTAGGACCCTTATTTTCACAAGCGGAATGGAGAATTCAGACATGATTATCTTCTAACAACCAATTGTCTCTTCCACCTATGAGAGTGGCTTCTGAGATATTTTGATCTGGGTGGTGCTTACGTGGGCACATGTAATATGCAGATATTCTTCAAGCTGCACACTTCAGACTGATGTTCTTTTTTATAGTATTTACATGTTAATTAAAGAAATAAGGTCACTTCTGGTTTTTTGATTCAGTGCGCTTTGCTAAAATCACTCCTCAGTGAAATTACATGTGAAAAATGCGGTCAGCCAGTGACTCTTTTCCTTCCCCTCAGGATGTGTCTAGTCCGAATGAAACAGGAAGGCCGGAGTGGAAAATACATGTGCCGTATCATGGTTCATTTCATGTGGGAAGATGTTGAACAGCGAGGCAGAGTCATGGGGGTAAGTGCTTGTTGTCGTATTCTGGTCCTGGACAACTCCGATGAAAGGTTGCCTGACCTTGGGATTTTCTGGTTTAGAATGGCTTTGCTTTTGGATTTCTGTGAAGTGTTGCCTAATACTAAGAAGCAGTTCAGCTATAGTCTCTTGGGAGCCTGGCATACATCTGATACATTATGTGTTTTGCGCGCATTATTGTGGTTTGTCAATATGAGGAAATCTTATGTGTAGAGGTAGAATAATGCCCAAATCATGGTGTTAGAAGGGATGGAATGGGCAATCAAATATTAGTCCAGTTTAAGGACACTGTGTCTTTGCTGTTAGTTCAATATTTGAATTAGTCACCCTTTAAGTTAGTCTTCCTTTGTTTGGTTCTGATTTTTTGAGACAGGGTTTCCTGTAGCGTATGCTGGCCTCGAACGCCCAGTGTACTTTAGGTTGGTCTTGAACTCCTGATTCTCTTGCCTCCATCTCCTAAATTCTGGGATTATAGCCAATGTACCCCCAACACCTGGCTCTCATGGGAAGATCCTGGTACGAGGCCAGTAGTCCTGAAAGGACTAAAGGAAAACAACTTTGTCACTAGCAACCTAGAAAACTTTGGTAAAATATCCAAAGTGGAGGTGTGCTAACAATAGAAAAAGGAAACCAAGCCAGTTGTGGTAACTCACACCTGGAACGCCAGGATTACAGGGAAGCTGAGGCAGGGGGATTACTGTGAGTTCACGGCAAGCTTGCACTACAGAGAAAGACCCTGTCTCAGCAAAAAGGGAAAAGAATAAAAAGGAAACCAAAGCATTGGGATACAACTGGTTATGTAAACAATAATCTATTATGTGTTTTGGGTGCTTAGACCATGTTAAGTAACTTGTAGTTCCTTTTCATTTCCCATTTCATTGCCTCCTCACTTAGGAGCACCCAACGCGGAACCATCTGAGTAGGGTAGCAGGTGAATTTGGTTTCTTTCGTTGCAGAGTTCTTTCAGTAGACCAAGAAATAAAGTTTATAGCTGTATTGTAAAAGTTACATATAACACATAGAATAAAGGCCAAAGAGTGGGACTGGAGAGGTGGCTCGCGGTTTCAGAGTGTGTGCTGCTCTTCAGAGGGCCTGAGTTCAGTTCCCAGCATCTGTGTTGTGTACCTCACTCATGTGCACGGGTACATAAAAGTAATTAAAAACAAAAACTTTTTTAAAAAGAGTAAAAAGCATTTAATGTAATAAACAAGTCCTTTTCCTATTCTGACTCCCCAGAAGTGAACATTGTTCAGAATTGATGTATATTTTTCTAGTATTTTTTATATAAATACAGATATATAAATGTGTATTCTTTTAATGCAACACACATGGGCTGTACTGCCCATACCATTCCGAATCTTAGCCCTTTTTACTTTATATTAGACATGGGCTTTTTGGCTTATTTATTTTTATTTTATGTGTATGAGTGTTTTGCCTGCATGTATAAGTGCTCCTTTGTATGCACTGCCCACAGAGGTGAGATCCCCTGGAACTGGAGTTACAGATGGTTGTTAGCCACCACGTGGGTGCTGAGACCTGAGCCTGAGTCCTCTGCAAGAGCAACCAGTGCCCTTAATCAGTGAGCCACCTCAAGCCCCATTAGATATGTTTTTACTTTACTTTGTTTTCTCAGAGTCATGGTCTTGTATAGCGCAAGCTATCCTCTAACTCCTGAGCTCCAGATCCTCCTGCCTCTGCTGCCTAGGGAATGCTGGGATTACAGGAGTGAGAAACCACTGTCAGCCTACAGTTGTTCTTTAATTCAAAAATGAAAGAGCTGGATGTGGTTTGTGCTTGTAATCGCAGAACTCTACTAGAGGCTGAGGCAGGAGAGTCATGAGTGGCAGGCCAGCCTGGGCTACACAGCAAGAATCTGTCTCAACAAATCAAACCAGGGCTGAAGCTGTAGCTCAGTTGTATATTGGTTGCCTGGTATGGGTCACGCCCTGGGTTTGATCCCTAACACCATAAAAATAAATTAATGGGGCATGGTGATACATGCCTATATTCTCAACATTCAGGAAGCTGAGGCAGGTGAATCACCACTAGTTCAAGGCCAGCCTAGGCTATAGAATAAGACCTGTCACAAAACAAAATACTATACAAACTCAAAATGTTTTAACTAAGGCTGAAATTCCTTTAGTCACTGGTCTCCACTATTGTTATTTACCTACTTCCAAGAAGTAACCACTGTTTCCATATGTGTGTGTATGTGTGTGTGTGTACATACACACACATATGACTCTGCTAGCTATAGAACATGCATAGTATCCTGTTTTGTGCATGTGTGTTTCATTAGACATGACTTATACTCTATGTACTTACGTACGATTTTCTTTGCACTCGGTATTGTTTTGGAGGTCTTTGAATGCTGCGTTGGTGCTCAGCCACAGCTTACTTTTATTACTGCACTTACTTTCACACACTCCTGTGCTATTATCTGTGCACATCGTGTGCTTTTTCTGTGTAAAATTGGAGCCCTTGAGACTTACACCACACAGGTGATACTCCCCTCTTGGGAACCGAGATTCAGGGCTTTCTCATGTCTTTGAAGGAACTGCATTATAGGAAACATATTGAACATGGGTCATCCTTTACGTATCTTCGTGGACACTTATGGGACATTCCCTGGGACATCGTTTCTGTTCATTCTAAGAAAATGAAGCACCCACTGTGGCTATTGTCATCGCTGCTGACACTGAGTCTCTGGAATCAGTACTGAGCTCTTTATAACTGCTCTTTGGTTCCACTTCCATGTCTCTCACTGTCATGCTGCTGGCTGTCTTTGCTATCCAGAGGGAAGTCAACAAACTAAACGACTCATGCATCTGGCTTCTCCATGTGTCCCTAGGTATTAACTACCCAATTGGACATAGGGTGGTGTTGGCAGTCTCAGATCACCCCATTAATGATGAGCAGTGATGCCCTCTGACCAGCTAAAGCCTTGGCTGACTGCCAGGTGTTTCTGCAGTAGCTCTTCTGTTGCATGATCCTGTTTTGCTTATCACTGTTGGCAAACTGCCGTAGTGGAACTACTGAAGCCATGTGAGCCACAGCTGTCCATCCTCAATAGCCCAGTAAGCCAGAAATTGCTGACTTCTGGACCACAGGAATCTTCCAATTGCACCCTCCCTCACAGATTTTCTCTGGACCTCCATATATAGCATCAGTCGACACTTGGAGCCTTCTCTGTGCTGTTGTAGACAGTCTCCCTTCTACTTAATTGTAAGCCTTATACAAGCAGGAAACTCTTACTCTATTTTTTGCTTATGCAGTAAACATCAAATGGGTAATCAGAATGCGTTGAATGAATATGTAAATTAAACTTCAGCCTCTGGTTGTTCTGTTTTAAAGCTAACTCATTAGAGTAATACTTCATCCTTTAGTACCTGGTATGGGAACCTTTTTATTGCCCCCATCTTATCCAGCTCTTTTCTTTCTATTTGGATTGTTCTAGATAGGGTGCCACCTATAGGGCAGTGTTGTAGATAAGTGTTCCTTGACCTTTAAAGAACCTGATAAAATCACAGATGCTGATTCAGTAGGTTAGAGCCAGAGAATCTACTTTTCTTCTCTCTCAGTTTTTTTTGACAGGATCTCATGTATCCCAGGTTCCACTCAAACTCATTATGTAGCCGGGATAACCCTGACTTTCTCCTGCTTCCACCTTCCAAGTGCTGAGATTATAGATGTGCACCATCATGCCCTGTTTTATGCTGTGCTGGGGATGAACCCAACATGCTTGATAAGCACTCTACCAGCTGAGCCATATCCCTAGGCCAGAGAATGTTTTTCCTTTCTTCTTTTCTTTCCCCATCTCACCCCCATCTTTCACAGGAGCTCCTGGAGCCGAGGTTGGCCTTGAACTCACTATATAGCCAAGAATGACCTTGAACTGGCCCTCTTCCATCTCCCAAGTATTGCGATTACAAGTGTGCGTCATCGTGTCCAGTTTAGAGTGTCTACTTTTCTAACAAGTTTTCAGGTTATGCCTGTGTTGCTAGGGATATAGAATTAAAGTCAAGCTTTAAATAGCAAGGTAGGTAGCCTAGTGTAGGGTGTTAAATTACCTTCGTGAAGAGAAATGCCCAAGCTCTGGCTTAGTTGCAGAGACACTAAATGAAAGATGATGATTTTAAAATAGTAGAAATTTAGAAGAATTGGGTAAATACTATTATTGCTTTTTTTTGTTATATTTGATATGACCTTCTAATTTGTGAGCGTGTATATGCAGAGGGCATCTAGGTCTGCTGTTAGTGTATAGCCTGCAGCAGTGTGACTTGTAGCTGGAGAAAAGCAACAGGCAGATTAGAACTAGTCGGGCCTGGTTCTCTCCAACAGGCAAGTCTTTCCTCTGCTTTAGTTTTTTCACAAACAAAACAGAACAAAACTCAGGTGCTACCTACAAGGTTTCCAAATTTCTTTTCAGCTTTGAAAACTACCCATGATTTGAAGGTGGTAATTTGCAAATCTATCTCTGTGTTATTTGGCATCCCAGGTAGACCTCTGTAAGAAAACTCATATAAAAAGTAAAATTTATAAAGCCATTCAGTGAAGTGGTGATTTTTCTCATGCCAAAGAATTCTTCAAGGCCATTACTTTAAGTGGATGGGTGTGGCAAAGATCAAGAACCAAAAGAGCCTCTTGCAAATTGATGACTAATCAGAAATTTTCATCAAGAATTCTGAAATTAGAATTCCTATCCAGAACTCATTTGATATTAGAGTTCTGGTTTTATATGGGGGAAAATTTTCATTTCACAAAAGTTTGCTTTTTATCACTTTTAAGGAGTGCAACAGTTGTGACAAATGGAGCAGGCTCATATATCATTGGTTAAACCAGTACAAAAAGCAAGGGTTAAATTTGAGATTACAAACATCACATCAGTAATTTAGAGTGTTCTGACTTTAAAAAAAGCAATATTTGGGATTTAAACATATAAATTAACTGTGGAAATAAAGTTCATTATATCACCTCATCTGGTC